CCTGTTTGCCTCAGTGTCTTCATCTGTAAAAGGAGCCAGAGAAGGAAATGGCAAACCGCTCCAGGATCTCTGCCAAGAAAACCCCAAATGAGGTCACAAAGAGTCAGGCATAACTGAAAAATGACTGAACAATAACAAATTATTGTTCTACAGCTATTCCTGACATAGTGGACTAGCATCCTTTTAAATAGACAGGTAGGTAGTACAGTGGATAGCGCGCTTGGCCTGGGCTCAAGAGGATCTGAATTCAAATTCAGCCTCAGACACTTATTAGCTGTGGGACTCTGGGCAAATCAGCTCACCTCTGCCTGCCTCAGTTTCCTCAACTGTAAAATGGGGAAAATCCCATCTATCTCCCAGGGCTGTTGTGAAGAGCAAATGAGAAAATATTTGTAAAGCACTTAGTATGGTCTCTGGCACATAGTAGGTGCTTAATACTATGTTTTCCTTCCTTTCTATCTGCCCTGCCGCCCCAGACCCTCCAGCCATCTTTTTCTGATTGCTCTCTTGCTCTGGGTATCAGTCTGTATTCTGTATACTCCTAGTCTACTCATTAATAGGAAACCAAGGGGTAGCTAGGTGGTGCAATGGATACAGCACCAGCCCTGGAGACAGGAGGACCTGAGTTCAGATTCAATCTCAGACCAGACACTTGACACTTACTAGCTGTGTGACCCTGGGCAAGTCACTTAACCCCAATTGCCTCACCAAGAAAAACAAAAGAAAGAATAGGTAACCAAAAGTGGATGGGTGTGCCCTATTCTCCAATCGGATTAAGATCTGAGGTGGATAGTGTCTATATCCAGTCAGTTGAGTGCCTCAGTGATAGAGCTCTGGGCCTGAAGTCAGGAAGACCTGAGTTCAAATCTGGCCTCAGACACTTCTAGCGGTTTGATCTTGGTCAAGTCACTTAACCTCTGTTTGCCTTAATCCATTGGAGAAGACAAGAAAACCTCATGGACAGCATCGGTGTGCTATGGTCTATGGAGTCGTGAAGAGTTGGGCAGGACTGAACAAGAATTAGATTATCAGACCAGGGACCTCCTTGAGAGGCCTGGAAGTTCCCTTAAGGATGGGGACCATGCTTCTAGACCCCAAGAGCAGAGATTAATAAACGCTTTTTCATTTATTCATTCTGACATTCCGACATTCATTCATCAGACCAGAAGCACTGCAGTGCAGTACCGAGGGCTCTCTTCCAGCTGTGATGGTTCCCAAGCAGATTATATCCCCAATCCTCCTAAGTCCCAGAACCTCATCCCAACAGGAACCAATGGAAAAACCATTTGATCTTGGCTATATCTGTAAAGTAGGGCTAATAAACCCTGCCCCTCTCACTAACTCCCAGGGACAAAAAACCAAGAGAAGTCTATAATCACCATCTTTCTAAATGCCTCCTGGATTTTCCCTGTGTCAAAGGATCATAGATCCTTGTAGATGGACATACCCATGGGTTTATAACTGAAGCCATATAGACCTATGTATCTATAGCTGAAAGGAACTCAGAAACCAACTGATCCGACCCCTTCACTTTACAGATGAGGAAACTGTGGCCCAGGGAGGTTAAGTCACTTGCCTAAGATCAGTAGATTATGCAAAGCAATGAGGGCTTTTCTAAAATCAAGAGTATGACAATATGGATTTCCTGTCCTCCTGCTACCCTAAACCCATCATTAACTACAAGGGTCTCTACACTTGGCTCTGTGACCCTGGGCAAGTCACTTTCCTTTTCTGAGACTCATTTAAAAATGATGGGCCTGGATTAGGTGATCTCTAAACAGTATATCTACTGCTTAGGGTTCTTGTGAAGAAAGCATTCGAAAACATGAAAGTATCTGCATGTGAATAGCATTCTAACCCCAATATGTTCTGAACTAAAGTCCCTCCCAGTTCTGACATTCTATGGTATAAAGTCCTTTCTCCTTCTGACATTCCATGTTCTAAGGACCCCTGATATTACATGTTCTAAGGTTCCTCTTATCTTTGACATCCCAGGGAAGCTATCATCTCTGACATGCTATGTTCTAAGGACCCCTTCCATTCCATGTTCTAAGGACCTTCCTATCTTTGACACCCTAGGGAAGCTATTATCTCTGACATTCTGTGGTATAAAGTCCCTTCCGCTTCTGACATTCCATGTCCTAAGGATCCTTGTTATTCTATGTTCTAAGGTCCCTCCTATCTTTGACATCCTGGGGACACTATTATCTCTGACATTCTATGCTCTAAGTATCCTCTTGGTTCTGAATCCTACATTATCTTATATCTAATACTATATAATCCCTCCCAGCCCTGACATTCTAATACTCTAAGACACGTGGAAATGGCCCAAAACACTTCCAATTGTGGCCCAAAGCAGATGAAAATATAATTGAGAAATAATAAAGTAAACAAACAAAAATGTGATAAAACATAGATAATGTTAATATGTAGCTTTCTACTATTAATATGTGTTCAATATGTAGCTTGCAGGGATTATTATGCACAATTTAATGATTCCCATTTCTATGAGAGTTTGATAACCCTGATCTAAGACCCTTCCCCGTATGTCCCAGCTTGGGACATACTGTATGGTCTAGATACGTTTCCAGCTTTGACATTCTATGTCCTATGTGCCCTCCTAGCTCTGACATTCTGTTCCAAGATCTCTGCCAGTGTAGCCAGGCTATAGTCAGTTTAATATTTGATGCATTTCTGAGAGACTGTCTGCTGATGTCCCTCCCAACCTTGACAATCTGATCACAGATTCTCTGGTCTAAAGTCTCTTCTCGTTTGCCATTCTGTGCTGTTCTGACCCCGCCCTGCTCTGACATTTGCTCATTCTAAGACTCGGGCCACCCCCCACCTCCAGCCTCCTCCATGTTACCTCAATCCCATCTGTCTGGACTTGGAATGGACCCTTGTGTAAAATCAGGGCTTTGGGCTCCATGATTTCAAAAGTTCTTTTCTTTTTTTCAATCTGTTTCTATAGCCTAGGGTGGGAGGGGCCCTAGAAGAGGCCGGAGAGTTCTAGACACTTATTTTGATCCCCGTGAAAACCAGCTCAGGTCTTTCTCTCCAAATGATCAAAGCAATGATCAACACTGGTGCAGGGCCCGTGGCTCAGGAGCCATAGTTAGGCTCAGCCTTAGCTAAGATTTGGTACCTTCCTGGGGGATAAGGTGGGCCCAGACATGTGGCAGAAGTGTCAAAGCTCCCAGGGGTCAGAGCGTGGAATCCAACCTTCCAAGCTCCTTAAAGACAGGGGCAATCTCATTTTTGTATTTATACCCCTACCACCTGAACATAATGCCCGGCACATAGTAGGTATCACATAAATGTTTACTGACTGATGGACTGATCCCTCCAATTTGAGGAATCTTTTGGAAAATGACAAAGGAGGATGTCAGAACCTAACCCTTGGGGTAGTGAGGTGGTACAGTGCATGGAGCACTAGGCCTGCACTCAGGAAGAACTGAGTTCAAATCCTGCCTCAAACACACATATTAGATATGTGACCCTGGGCAAGTCACTTAACTGCTGCTTGCCTCAGTTTCCCCAACTGTAAAATAGGGACAATAACAGCATCTACCTCACAGGGTTGTCCTGAGGATCAAATAGTAGGCTCTGTATAAATGTTTATTCTCCTCCCCTTCTCTACTAGGCACATTCTTTAGCATCATTTGCATAAATCTGCATAGTTATGAATCTAGCTGGTCACCATGTATTTCAAACCTCATGATCTTGACTGACGTTTCTAAATCTCCCTCCCCTTCCTTCCTTCCTTCTCCAGCAACCATTTGGCTTCAAGGAAAACAATTTGCTCCAGGAGAATGGGAATTGATCTGGAAGTCAGGAGACCTGGGTTCTCATCTTGGTTCTGATACTAACTCACAAAGGTAAGCTGGGTGATGCAATGGTTAGGGCACCAGGCCTGGAGTCAGGGAGATTCCACTTCCTGAGTTCAGATCTAGTCTCAGACACTTATGTGACCCTGGGCAAGTCACTTCACCCTGTTTGCCTCAGTTTCCTCATCTGTAAAATGAGCTGGAGAAGAAAATGGCAAAGCACTCCGGTGTCTTTGCCAAGAAAACCCTAAAAGGGATCACGGAAGAGTCAGACATGAATGAAAATTACTGAACAGCAACTAACTTAGTATGTGATCTTGAGCAAGTCCTTTATGTGCCTCAGCTTTCTCAGCTGTAAAAGGATCAAAATGGACTAGATGATCTCTCAAAGATCCCTTGAGCTCCAAATTCTACGATCCTAGAAGCTCCACCCTCTCCTTAATATTTCAAGCATCCGTGATGTCATTATGTGGGTGCTCCTTCGACGGGCAGAGACGGCTAGCCCTTGGTAATTGTGAACGGCACTCTGGGGCTGCTAGGCTTCACCAATTGGTTGCCATCTTGCCTGAGAGGGGCTGAGCCTCTTCTAACTGAGTTTGACTGGTCCAGGCCTCAAATCCTTCCTAGCTTAATAGGCTCTCCTAGAGCAGGGGTTCTTAATGGACCCCCAGAGGACCCATGGATAGATGTCAGGGCAGGGGGTGTCTATAAACCTGAATGGGGGAAAAGTGGCATCTTTGTTTTCACTAACCTTTGGCTGAAACGAGCATTTCCTTCAGTCTTTTAAAAACGTTATCCTGAGGGGTCCATAGGTACATGTGATCACCAGAAGGGTGTCCATGACCCCCCAAATGCCAAGAAGCTCTGGACTAGCCTTTATACTCCCCTTGCACCTCCAGCACCCCCACAATGTATCA